GTTCTAGAACAGCACTATCAATAGAAACAGAGTGCAAGCCACATGTGAAATTCTAAGTTTTCAAATAGTCACAGTAAAGATAGTAAAAAGCAATGGATGAGGTGAATTTCAGTATGTTTTATTTAATCCAGTATATCCCAAATATTATTGTTTTAACATGTAATCAATATAAAAAGTTATTGAGATTTTTAAAAAATATGAGGTCTTCAAAATCTGAATGTGGCCACACTTCCAGCACATGTCAGCTTGGACTAGCCACACGTGCTGGTGGCTGCCGTCCTGAGTGGCAGCAGCAACAGAACTCCTCGGGAGCCTGTTGGGAATGGAGACCCTCAGGCCCCACCCAGGCCTCCTAAATGAGAACCTGCATTTTAACAAGATCCTCAGGTGATCGGGAGGCGCACTGAAGCCTGGGAGGCACCGCGGGGACAGGAATTAGCAAGTTCTTCCCGCTGCTGGGACAGACGCTTTCAGAGTGTTGTTTCCCATGCTTATAACACCTAAGAAGCTGAGACCAGAATTCAGGAGTGCCGAGCACCTGCTTGTCATGGTCTTGTTTCCCCTCCCCAACAAGGAGGGTGAAATAGGTCTTAAAACAATGACCTAGTCAATGGTGAAGGACCAAGCACAGTGAGCTTGGGCAGACCGATGGGCAATATTGCAGCTTTAAAAAGACAAAATGGCCAGCTGATGGCACCAGAAGCTAAGTGAGAGAACAATTTTTCTGAGAAATGCTTAATAATAATTCATGTTTCAAAAGTGTGTTTTGGAGCTCCCTGCCGAATGGGAGTTAAGCTAAAGCAGCCTTTCTTTCTCTCCCTCTCACATCCAGCTCATCCTCCTGTTCCAGTTGCTCGAAATCCTTATGAGGGCTGGAGCACCTCCTCAAAGAGAACCACTGCAGCTTGAAACACACCCTGCCATCTCCTAGGCTGGGGGCTTTACATGGGAGATAAAGCACTGTCACCCACAGTGAGTGTTTCCAGAGAATTATTCCTCAAATAAGAAAAGCACAATAGATTGAACAGGAAAGGGCAGCAGAGCTCTTCTTAATTTGGGGGAACGAGGAGACTCTGGTCTGGTCTAAACTGAACAGGCTTACCGCTGCACAGTTCAAGAGACAAAGTGATGAAGCCGATAAAGAGAAAAGCTTTCAGTTCATACAGTACTAACATCCTGTCTCTTTTTTTTTTTAAACAGAAAACTTTGAATCCACAATTGCACTTGGCCTATTTGGGTGCATCACTGTGATTTCCTTCTATTTATGGCATCTAACAGGAACTTTATAATTTACCAACTACACTAGTAAAATAATACAGGAACACACAAAAGCAGCAAAAACAACATTCCACATTTTCCTCTAAAAATGTCAGAGACTATTACCATGAATGATGCCTTGTATTTGTTTAGGATTTAGGTTTTTAAAGCACTCTGAAATACGTTATATTTCATGCAAATAAAGAAAAGAAGGGATACGTACTATGTGGATAGTTTCAGGAAGACTTATTTTGGAAGAACAGTGGGTATTCCATTGTTTTAAACTAAATCTGTCCTTTCTACTGCTTGTTTCTTTACCTTTCAGAGTATCTCCAGATCTGTTACTCCTCCAGCTCCTTAAAAAGCGTCAGCTCGTTTTTCTCACCTTCTCTTCTTGACTCTCTTCTTGTCACTTTTTTGTCCCTGAAAGGCCATCCTGCTTTGTAGTCAGTGTGACCTGCGTCAGTGTCTCGACTCCATAATCAACTCACTGTGACTCTGGCTACATTTCCGCATCTGTAAAATGGACATAATACCAGCTAGGTTGAGAAGAAAGTCATATGTGTCACCACAAACGTAAAGCACTTGGTAGCACTTCAGATCCCTAAGGTACAAAGCTCAGGAACCTCTTGTGGGCTTACCCCATAAGCCCAGTTTGCAAACTGACTATTTCATGGATTTTCGTTTGAGAAGCTCAGAGTAAAAGGGCATCTAGGACGTGACCTGCAAATTATTATAGGTGGTATGGTCCAATTTAAGAAATGCTTGGAAACCATGAAATTACCAAAGACATGCTGTTTGGTGAGGTCATAATTGTGGTCTATGAAATCATGGGCCAAAGAGATAATTATGATGCCAAGAATAAAGTTTGACTTCCCTGTAGGTTCAAAAAGGTAAAACTTGAAAGATAAAAACTACCTTCATCAAAGTAAGTCCTGGTTTAAACATAGAGATCTTTAGGAATTATCTACCATAGTAAGAAAAATCATAAAGGACAGGGAAGATGAAAAAAAGTTGTACTTATATGTACACCTGATCATTTCCTTTCATGTTTAATGGTTAAACTATAGATTGAAAGTTTCAGAGTTCCTCATTTTTCCTATGGATAACTGCCCTTCCCCAACTCCTACCAATGACAAGCTGTCTGGATATTAAAAATGAGTGACACAAAGTTAACACCC